GATATTTGATCAAATCAGTCAATCCTGAAAGAAATCAACCCTGACTGTTTCCTGGAAGGCCAGAAACAGAAGCTGAAGCTCAAATACTTTGGCCACCAAATGAGAAGGGAGCCCTCACTGGAGACGACCCCGATGCTGGGAAAGATTGAAGGTCAAAGAAGACGGGGACGGCAAAGGATGAGATGGTTAGGCAGTGTTATCGATGCAACGAACATGAAATTAAGCAAACTCCGGAGCACGACAGAAGACAGGAGGGCATGGCTTGATGTGGTCCATGGGGTTGTGAAGAGTCGGACTCGACTGTGCGACTGAACAACAACAACAACAACAACTCTGATATTTAGGAATAAAAACTGGACATGAATTGGTGGGATTAAATGACCAATTACGGCAATCTATTTTGGAGCATTTTAAAAAATATACAGGGACTATATACATTCAATATTTCATAGATGGGAAGGGTAGCATTAAATTAGGTTTCCTCCCCAAAATGGTCACTTCTTTATCAGAACTGACTGTTCTACAGTACATATAAAAATTAGGAGTGGGCAAGGTTGATTTTACAATTGCAAGGTTAAACTAACATTCCAGAATGGCAACTGAAACACTGAATGAATCCTTGAAAGGATGGAAGCTGAGGTCCCTCTAATACCACACTGTATTACTACGCCAGTCAACCTACAGTTCATAAAACAAGAAATATATGGAGAAGATAATTCTCAATGGGAAAAAACAGAGCTATCCCATTTTTAAATACCTTTGAGATTCATTTTTCTGGGCAAAAGACAAGTGGAATATCCAGACTCAGACACTTATCTAGGTTAAATCTGGGTTCGTAACTTGAGAAAGTTTATTCCAGAATTTTATCTCCATTCTTCAGAACAACTTTTATAGAGAAGTCTTAATGGATCCACTGATAGATGGATGAAATCGCCATTAATAAAGCCCGGTACAGTCTACTCAGTGGGCAGGGAGGAAGAGCACTGGGTCTGCCCCCTGCCTCTGTCCAACAGCCTCGCCATCTGCAGAGTGTGACCATGTGAAGGCATAAGCCATGTACGCACTCTCTCCCCATAATAAGCAGCATTCTGATAGCAGGCACGCTGATCACAGGGCCAAGTCCTCCAAGGAGTTGCACTCTGCAGGCAATTGTGTGGAGATGGAGGGCGAGGGCCTAACCGTTTGCACCCGCTCTCCCTCCACAGATGCTGAGTCAGTGCAGAGGGGTTGTATGTACTGAGCTTTAGATTAATGTGCCTTTGAGTAGATTGTCATGTCACTGAATATCAGTCTATACCAGAAGATTTAAGTTGGAAAGAAAATTCCTTTATTTTAGCATTTTCCAGATTAGGTAGCTTGGTTTGGGTCCAAATTATCGCAAGTGCAGCACAGTATGTGGGACCCACCCCTCTGGACCCCACAGAGCCCTTTGAAATTCTGCTCATGGGGGTTAAGAGACCATAATGAACCGCACAGGGGCAAAGTGGGGGGCCACAGTGTTGGGGGAACCAACAGAAGCCCCCCACAACCGAAATATATTCTGCTAGTGTGCCGATACTGCAGTGGAGCAGCACCTTTTGATCTAGCTCTTTGTGTTAGAAAAGAGATTTTGAGCAGCAGATTGATGAAAGCTAATTTTAATGAAATTGTGTATGTGAAACACTGGGGGAAAGAGACCGTGTTTGGCATTTGTACCTTGAATGCAAGATGATTGTTCTCAGTCTGTACTGCCCCGAGGGAAGTCCAGAACAAGGTTATTTCACTACATGGAATGGAGGGGGGGGGAATTACAGATTCCAGGCAAGGAGCACATTAAAGACCATGGTGCAAATGGACCTGTGCAGTGGGCAGTCTAGATATTAAAACATATTGGAACAGGATATTGCAGATCAGCCATATCATCAGTGCCCAGAAATTCACATATTTGGCTTTATTCAAGGAATGAGGATCATTCCTTAGTTTAGTATTTTAGTTGCAACTGTTTAGTCCTAAGCTTTGGAAGGAGCATGATATTCCAGATGTTCATGGCTACTAAAACTGTCGAGTTAGGCCACAATGGAAGAAAATAACTACTTATGTTAAATGAAGGATGAAATCCTAAGCACACTTACTAGGGAATAAGCTCCACTGAACTCAATGAGACTTTACCTCTGAATAATGCTTTGGACTGCACTGTAAATTAAACATTGGAAGTGGGCAATATGCCTTGCTTCTGGGTGAGGACATGGACAATTATAACTTTCAGAGAATGCAGGTTTGTCTTAAATGGGAATGAGTTCGTAAAGTTATAATGTCTCTAATGGATGTGAATTCCCATTTGCATTATAAATATATAAAAACTGTCCCCCCCCTTTAAATTAAGTGCAAACTTCAGAAATTCTTTACCACTATAATTCAGCATTTGCATACTATAGGCAAGTAGTGTGTGTGTGTAGCTAAAGCAAATTAACAGATGAGGTAAGATTATCAGAGTTTAGAAAAGAGATTGGATTTATACCCCGCCCTTCACTTGGAGTTTCAGAGCAATTTACAGACTCCTTTCCCTCCCCGTCCCCACAACAGACACCCTGTGAGGTGGGTGGGGCTGAGAGAGCTCTTTCCAGAACTGTCCTCGAGAGAACAGCTCTGACAGAACTGTGGCTTGCCCAAAGTCATCCAGCAGCTGCATGTGGAGGAGTGGGGAATCAAACCCGGTTCTCCCAGATTAGAGTCCACACACTTAACCACTACACCAAACTGGTTTACTGGTTTGTATGTTCATTTGGCCATGAATAATGATGTTTTTGATTTCTCCAGGGTGACTTTTTAAAGTTGTTCATTGTTACTGGTTTTTCTCTACGTATGATAAAAGTGATAATCAACAGAAAAGTACATTAAAAGGGATCCAGGCCACGTGCCCAGGAAAGACTCCGGCCTGAGTCCTTGGAGAACCAGTGCCAGGACAGGCCATCTGAGGTGCCATTTCCTGCACTGTGCAGGGGGCTGGACAAGATGACCCTCAGGGGTCCCTCCTTGCTCTATATCTCGGTTCTAAGCCTGCTTGATCTTCTCTGTCCTACAAGCACAGCATGCTAATCCTAGATAAGGAAAGGATGTGTGTTGTAAGCCAGTCCACAGCACTGGCCCCTTTGCGTGACCTTTCGTGCAAGCCACGTGGGTTCTTGCAGCTGGTCTTTTCCGACTGTACGGCAGCTGCTACCTTATACCGGTGGGGGCTTGGAATGCATCCTGAAAACTTTCACGTTGTTACCACCGCTGGACTCATCAGAGCTGAGAGTACTGTATTAATTCAGTCCATTAGACGTTAAGGCGGTACAGTACAAAGAAACAGGAGCAACGGCTTGAACACAGGTAGGGGGGGAAACCCAAAATGGGCTCAGTGTTCCCTTCGGGCCTATTCCGGTGACAAAAAACCAGTACTCTTCGGCCACTGCTGCATCCTTGCCAAGTCATCCAGTGGACCGGGTCTGAACAGCAGGACATCTCCCAGACTTCTGAGTAGATCATACAGAACTCGCAGCAGCCTGCTGTGACTCATTTGGTAGAGAGAGCTGATGGATAGAAAGCACCCATGTCCTGACACCTGGAAATACTGGATGCTCCCAGAATGCCTTCTTGCCACTGTAAGGATGCAGACAGGGTGGCTTGGAAAGGTATAATGCCACCTGCTATCTTGACTGTTCGCAAAGGAATCTGAGGAATCTGAGCCTTGGCTCAGCTACAAATGCAAAGGCACGGAGAAAGTTCTCTGCAATTCTGCTGCAGCGGCGACCACGGGGGCATCAGCTCTATTCTCAGCATGTGCAAGCGCTCTTCTTTCTCCTCAATGGCAGGAGCTCTTCATGCCAATTTGGACACTCTGACTCCCTAAGTTTTTGAGGGACCGGGTTCCATTTGTGTGCCCGCACAGCGACCGCCGACATCACTTTCCCAAGGACAGAAGCCCATTGTGTGCCTACCGGTTCCTGAGGTTACCTTAAACGCCTCAGGGGCTGAATCAGCATGGTGCCTACTTCATCCGTCTTTTGCGAGACGCTATATTCAGCCACAGAAAGCCAAACTGGATCGTTGGGCTCGCGGTTTCAAGCGGAGTCATCACATTTTCTCCTTTCCCAGGGCATTCCTCGGAGATCCATTGCCCAATCCGATGCTGCTCAATTGACAGTATCTTTCGTACACTGACCACAGCAGCAGACAATGTGGGGAAATTTCATGCAGCCTAGGGAGAGGACTCTGCTGCAGGTAAGGATTTCCGAACCTTTATCTAGCGCAATGAATTCTTGGGGATCTTTTCTTCAGAAAGCCACAAAGATGAAGACGGAAATATAAACAGCAACCAGTGTTCCCTCTAAGCTGAATCAGTGTGAGCTAGCTCACAGTTTTTTCGCTTCCGGCTCACACCTTTTTGTCTTCGCTCAGGAAAGCTCCAGAGCAAGCTCATTTATGCAGCAGCAAAATCGCTCGCTCACGACTTTAATGCCAGTAGCTCACAAAGTAGAATTTTTGCTCACGAGACTCCATAGCTTAGAGGGAGCATTGGCAGCAACGTCTCTGATTATCCCCGTTCGTGAATTAACCTCCTCCGGCCCCATGTGCACAGTTTTCAGAAATAAGCTCTTCCAAACAGGGGAGTCTCGCTGATAAACCTGTGCACCTGCTTTAGGCTGATTCCAGACCAGACAGAATCCACTCCTTGACAGAGCCAGGCAGAAGAAGGTGTCTCCCAGCTATGTTAAAAAGCGGGTCTTCTTTTATCTGTTTGGTTTCACAGACTGCAGCCACGGGGGCTGGCACTTCCAAGGGGAAACCAGGAGGGGGAAGAGGCTCTTTCACTACCCCCTCCCCTCATATTGCTTTCCCACTGAAAACGTCCACCGTCAAGCTGTTGTCGTTTTGCTAGGGACCGGAGGACAGACTGTCAGCCTGCGTGTCCGTCGGGATTGTAAAGGGAAGAAAAAGCACACCGTGGGAGAGTGTGGCAGGTACAGATATGCTCTCACCTGAGGCTGCTGGAGCATTCGTAGGGGTGGAAGCAGCGGCTTGATTCCGAGCATGAGCAGGTATGAGGGTTGAAGCCAAAGATGGATTACTTGACAGTTCTGGAAGGGAAATGGGAGACAGTGAGCATCTCCAGCCAATGGAGAGGTTCTACCGGCAAGATCGATGGGGGTCTGAGGGAGGACGGGAGTCGAAAAAGTGGAAGGTCCTCTCAAAGATCGCAACTGAGGGCTTCTCCATCCATTTCTCCTCTATCTGGGTTTTTAGTCACAACACTTTGCTCTGCTAAAAATCTATGCAAATTCGGACTGTGTGAAGGCACACAGTCTGAATTTGATGCCTCAATGGAAACAACCTGCTCTGCTTCAGGGAGGACCAGGGGCTTTGCATCCAGACACACCTACATGGAAAAAATGTGTTTTCTCCACAGATATACCTGTACACCAATGGCCAGACACAAATATTTCCTGTTTTGTCTCTTATTGCTGGTACTAATTTTCGTGCAGTCATTTAGATGTCCAAAACTATTATGAAAATGTATTTCAGTAATTTTCACTAACGTATTAATAGCTTTCCCCCCCATTTCCAGCCAAACATCAGGAAAAACCTGTGTGTGTGTGTGTGGGGGGGATTTCAATATAAATGTTATGGCTCATGCCTGAATCAGCTAATCCCAGAGCATTTTGCCAGCCAAATTAAAATTGAAGGCTTCTAGCCAGGTTGAAATATAGAAGGCTTTTTGCACCTATTTAAAAGAAGACAAGACTGGCTTGCTCCTTTACAAACACTTGAAATGGAACCATAAGATTATTTGGAAAAACATAAAGAAGTTAAGCATTGGGTTGCTCCTAATAGAACACTGAACTGTAGCAAGAGGCTGACACCTTTCAATACAACAGGATTACTCCTGAGGAAGATTGGGACGAAATGAGTTTATATCTCGATGCTCATTGAAAATGACTGACCTGTAATATTGCAACGTTTTATAATATAATCTGATTCTTACTAAATGTTGTTATCATTTATGTCACAGTGTTTGTTTGAAACATCAGGGAAAACCTGTGTGTGTGTGTGGGGGAGTTTCAGTATATTTTTGATATAAATGTTAAGGGTCATGCCTGAAATCAGCTAATCCCAGAGCGTCAAGATTTGGATGAGAGACTTTGGTCAAAGTTCTCTGCTTCCTTCCCCAAGGGTCCACTAAGTAGGGAAGGAAACAGAGAACTTTGACCAGAGTCTCCAATCCAAATCTTGGTGCTCTGGGATTAGCTGATTCAGGCAAGACCCTCAACACTTCAATGTCTTCTAAGCAGTGCGATAAAATATATTTGCTACATTAAACTTTCCTTGGAGTGCCATCTTGAAGCAGGGAAGAGAAAAATGAATTCAAGCCTATTTGCATCCCCAGCCTGGGCATTTCTAAAAGGACACGCATGGATTGAATTAATATACTCCAGTTAATTTTATAAATCTAGATGGAACCAATTCAGTGTTAGGATCAGGCAAATTACAAGTCAAATGCAGGCACCCAGGGCAGGCTGCTCAGGTGAGTGCCGAGGCTACTTTTACGGGCAGCATCTTTTCCAAAACAGGCGAGTGACCCGACGCCTTTCATTGACTTCGGTACAGGCAACTGACATCTCCCAGAGAGTCTAAGCAACAAATGTAAGCCACCAATTATTAATCTTTTTAATTACCCCTAATACAACATGAAAAACCACGTGCCCCAAAACTGCAAAGCTAAACCCTCTAAACTCTGACTGTCCTGGAATTTGAAATCACTCGCATAGTTTAATAAACATAATTCCAAGGAAAAGAACAGAACATAAACAGAAGTTCTGTAATCCCAAAGACATTTCCTGTCTTCCCCCCGCTAAAGACATTTCCTGTATGATCTATGGGAATTGGAGCCTCTGCTGTCATCACGACACAGGCACTAGCCAGTCAGGAGCTATACTGTGGCTGCAAATCTATGTCAGAGAGCCTATCGGTCACCAAGCATGAGCTGACCCAAGGTTATGAAGAAGAACAGAAGAGTTGGATTTATACCCTGCCTTTCACTACCCAAAGGAGTCTAGGAGCGGCTTACAAACTCCTTTCCCTTCCCCTTCCCCTCCCCACAACAGACACCCTGTGAGGGAGGCGGGGCTGAGAGAGCTCTTGACAGAAACTGCTCTTTTTCAAGAACAGCTCTTATCAGAACTACGGCTTGCCCAAGGTCATCCAGCCAGGTGCAAGTGGAGGAGTGGGGAATCAAACCCGGTTCTCCCAGATTAGAGTCCACACACTTAACCATTACACCAAACTGGCTCTCAGTTAAGCAAGTTAGCATCTCCAGACCTTTCTCTCCATTCTTCACTTGCATCCAGACCACACTTTGGAAAGAGGGCTGACTTTTCCAATTGCATTATATTCTTCCTGACTTCACTTCACAACTCTAATAGGTTTTTGGCAGCAAAAACATCAGGAACGCAATCTTCGTTAATTCTGCCAGGGCTTACCTTGAGTGGTGAAGTTAAAGAGTGCGGGTTTCTCTCGCCCACTCGGTAGTTTGATGTTTGGGTCCCGTAATTCATCGAAGAAAGAGTGCGCACAGGCTTCCAGCGGGGTCAGACGCGCAGTGGGAGTATATTCAAGCAGGTGGCTACAAAGCGCTATTGCTTCTGGTGGAGTGCGGGGCCGGAAGACCTACAATGGAAGAGAGGCAGTCTGTCAACAGCTGGTGGATGCTGTTGTCGAGCAGAATGACCAGTGAAATTCTGGGTGGAAACTGGACTGCTTTTTTTTTTAATGAGCATCAAGGGATGAAACCTGAACCAACTTTCTAAGGCTGAAAGAGCTAACTGCAAAGGATTTTTGTGGTACTCCAGTGAAGTTAGCAGACAGCTCAGAAAAAAGCCACATGGGCCAAGAAAAATTTTAGAAAGTGAGGGACTAATCTGTTTAAAACATAACGGGTTGGCAAACAGCCTTGCGTATGGGTCAGAGGATGGAGAAAAGAAATGGAGAGGGGTTTTCTGAAGACAGAAATTACTGCGGTTCTGCACCTTTTAAAAGCAATAAACTGATACTCTCCTGGGAAGGGAATTATTTTGGCAGGCTGGGTGACGTTGATCAAGTCTCACAGTTTTGGTTAATCCTCTCGTCATGTAGAGCAAATACTTAAATCGCTTGCACTTTGGACATTTGGGAGTACAATTAAAGGGTAGGAAGTGAGCTGGCTACTTTACTCCCCCAGAGATTTTAAATCAAGCAGCCTTCAGAGGACATTCCCCTGGAGCTCTGATCGCTGCCCTCTTCTCGGCCATCATTCTGTCTTCAATGGTGCCCTCCCTTCTGGCTTTCCCTTCTCTCACCCTTACACACAATCAAATAGCCACACACGTGGGTCACTGATGTGTTTGCAAAGAGTTCTTTCCAGTTTTTTGTTGCATGTAGAATGCTGACTGGGGGAAGGGTCGAACCTCAAGACTCAGTGCTGGCAATCCCAACACACAAAATGTGACACGCAAATCAACTGAAAATCCACCCAAGCCGTTTTTAACAAGGAGACGTTCTGTGGAAAAGAGTTTCGAGGATTTCCTGATCGTTAGCATCACGGCTCGGTTATGCCAAGACTCCTCGTTTCATACCACAAAGGGTGGAACTGCAACTGGTGGGGCCACCTGAAAGCTCAAGGAACTAGAAGGTCAGCACCAGGTTTGGGCAGGGCACACGCCAAGCCTTTTGGTGCTGCTGTTAGAAGAACTATGGAAATGCACATGAAGCCCCTTGCTGGCCTAATTCTGGGGAGGGGAGATACAGAGCAATGCCACAGTTAGCTGGAAAGAAATCCCAAGCCCCTCTATGCCAGTCTGGTGTCGTGGTTAAGTGCGCGGGCTCTAATCTGGCAGAGCCGGGTCTGACTCCCCACTCCTCCACTTGCACCTGGCTGGATGACCCTGGGCAAGCCGTGGTTCTGATAAGAGCTGTCCTTGAAAAAGAGCAGTTCCTGTCAGAGCTCTCTCAGCCCCACCTACCTCACACGGTGTCTGTTGTGGGGAGGGGGAGGGAAAGGAGTCTGTAGGCCGCTCCTAGACTCCTCTGGGTAGTGAAGGGTGTATAAATCCAACCTCTTCTTCTCTTCTATGACAGACACAAAACTAGCCCCTCTCTGGCTCACCTTGCTATGAATGGGAGAGGGGGGCAGCCCTTTCTCCTCCCAGCACAAAGGATGTGGTGATGTGCTAGTGCCTTTTCCTTATTGCAAGGCCGCTACTTCAATTACATGCCACCTGGCAAACTGAGGCATTTGCTGGGGGAATCGTGGGTCGGGGGGTGGGAGAGGGCAGATTTTGTAGGAAAGGAACACAGCGGCAGGAAGAGGAGAAGGGAGCGCTTAACACTCTGTGCACTGTCCTGTCCTCCCCCGGCCATCCCCCAGCCCAGGGCGGGCTTCCAGGCTGAGGGACAAGCTTGTTAAGACTCTTAAGATGCATCTGCGGAGGAGGATCGGGAGGCAGGCAGAAAGAGCTAAGCGACCCCCTCCTGCCCACCTGCTCACCCTGACAACTGCCCCTGAATCCATGCAGCGAGGGAACCGTCCAAGTGTCCTGATGACTGCTCCTCGCCCAGCAAGTAAGCACCGCGATGCCATCGAGGCTGGATCACTGCCTCATACGGGCTTAGGGCAGAGTGGCATGTTGCAAGGCAGATCCCCATTCCTGTCTTGTCGAGGGCAGCTCTGCCCCGAGGCTGCATATGGCAAGAGCCAAAGTTTGATGGCCCCACAGCGCTCATTCCCTGGGCTGGACTCCTTTAGCCCACGAGAGACGGTTTTGGTTAGGGAAATGGGAGTCATTTTCTCGACTGAAAGATTGCTGGCAGAGTACAGCTGCACCAGCTCCCAGCTAGGACAGTGCCTTTAAGGCTAAAGAACATGTGAACAAAAGGTGGGGGGAATGGGCTTAAGAACTGGTTCCCATGGCTATTCTACAACTCTAATTACTAGCCATAGCATCGTTTCAGAGGGGAGCCGTGTTAGTTTGCAGTGGAACAATTACATGTGAGTCCAGAAGCACTCGAGAGACCGAGAAGATTTTCAGGGTGTCAGCTTTAGAGGCTCAGAACTCTCTTCATCATGGTATCAAATCAAAGGATCTTTGTATTCTCAAAAGCTTATGGTCCGAAAATCTTGCTGAGTCTCTAAAAGGCGTTACTGGACCCAAATCTAGCTAGTCATAGCATAAAGCCAGTGTAACAGTAAGATCTTGCTTCTCTCTAGAGAGGGAGGTTTTTTTTAATGGTTCTGACCAGTGTTCCCTCTAAGCTGAGTTAATGTGAGCTATCTCACAGTTTTTTAGCCTACGGCTCACACATTTTTGTCTTCGCTCAGGAAGGATGGCTCCAGAGCAAACTCATTTATGCAGCAGCCAAATCGCTCGCTCACAACTTTAATGCCAGTCGCTCACCAAGTAGAATCTTTGCTCACAAGACTCCACAGCTTAAGAGGGAGCCCTGGTTCTGACCTATATTAAGCTTTAAAATGAAGTTGAGACTAGTTACAAAAGTCTCTTGGTAAAAAATTAAAACTGTTTCCCCACCAAAACCCTGTTGTGGTCTGCGCAAGGACACCCTTCCAGAAAGGCCAAAGAGACAGGGAACAGATGAAAAGACGTGAGAATCTCCGACTGAATGGTACAGTCTGAGTGGGGCTGTTTGGAAACTTAGCCTACGAAAACACAAAGGATCCTGACTGGACCCAGAATTCCACCCAGGGATTGCTTGGAACGAGTGTAACATGACCAGGTGGGTGGGCAGCGGTGTTGGTCTGAAGCGACAGAACAAAGTTTGAGTCCAGTGGCACCTTTAAGACCGACGAAGCTTAATTCTGGGTATAGGATCTGGAGAAGCGTGCCTGCACACAAAAGCTTATATCCAGAATTAGAGTCTGTTGGTCTTGAAGATGCCACTGGACTCAAACTTTGTTATGATCGGGGGGTTGGGGGGGGGTAAGCTTTCCTTCAGAAGCTGGATATGGAGTGGACAGTTAGTTCAGAGTACAGCCACTGGGTATTTTCGAAACTCCTCACTGACTGACCACAGAGGAAGACTGCTAAAGCCAATGGGGCCGCTCTAGAACGAGCCGGTCATGGCTGCAGCTTCAGCCAGCTTGAGAGAAGCAGTCAACCCTTTCCAAACCGAGCCCGCTATACCTACAAGGTGGGAAGTGCTTTTAAATTATAACAGATACTGCAATTTACTTCCTTTTCTCTTTTTCTCCCCCCCCTTCTCTTTCAAACAATCATTGACAAAAAAAATGTCACTCCCTCCAGCATAAGGAAATGTCATTCTGAATGCGCAATTTTGTTTAAATCACAACCCAACTGTCAGTTCTAACCAACTTGCAGAAGAAAAATCTAAGTCATTTTTCACTTCATGAGCGTGGTGGTGTTTTTTCAAAATAAATAAATAAATTAGGGCTTGTTTTTTTTTAAAAAAAATCCTTAAATCTTTTTGCAGATACCCATTCAACTGGAGTCCTGAGACCTCCTCATGCACATCTGTACACATATACCTTATAATTAACACTTCCCCATCTTGTCCAAGAGTTTAAGTGGGACTGAATCACCCATCCTGAAATATAACCTCAGGGGTAAAAGGAGGGAAATACAGTCATGCTTTGACATGCACAGAGGGCATTTAAAAGAACAATGGCTTGTTCGCGTTCTTCTCCATTACTGTCTTCTTCGGATAAAACTGTGGAAAATGACAGGTTCCTGGCTAGCCTTGAAGACCGCTTGTGGCGCTCAAGGCTAGCGTGCCCTCCCCCTCTTCTATGAGTAAGCTAATGTGCATCATAATGCACCGCTGCTTCGATTTTGGAAGCTGCCACCAGCGCAGGCCCTTGTGGAGACCAGGACTTGGATGGGTCACTCGGTGCTGTTGGGGCTTTGGAACAGGTCACTCAACTGGATGTCCCATCAGGCCCGTAGCTACAGTGGGGCATCTTGGGGCTAGACCCCCAAACGGTGGCAGGTGCGGGGAAGGAGCTGGGTATTCCTTTAATCTGATTAGCCAGTGCCCCCCACCGAAACTGAAATGCCCCCCGACTTAAAAAAAACCCCTGGCGACGGGCCTGTGTCCCATCCTGCTGACTGCACTGACCTGCACTGTGTAGTTCGCCTTGAGTCTTGGTGAGAAATGTGGACAATAAATAATGTAAGTGATTATCAGAAGGACCGTCTCCTTCCATACGTGCTCGTGCACCATCTACAGTCATCAGGTAGCCATCTGTGTTGGCAAGTGATGCACTGTATTCTTGGTGCTTGGGGGGGGCGCAACAGTGGGAGGGCTTCTTGTGTCCTGGCCCCACTGGTGGACCTCCTGGTGGCACCTGGTATTTTTGGCCACTGTGTGACAGAGTGTTGGACCAGATGGGCCATTGTCCTGATCCAACACTGGCTTCTCTTATGTTCTTATCCCACCACTGTGGGTGGCCCGTCTGGCATCAACCAGAGCCCAGGCCTTTTTTGTGGTGGCTCCGTGGAATGGGTTCCCTGAAGATCTCCCTTCTTGGAGATCTTCTTCAGAGGAGCTGCAAGGTCTACCTGTTTGCCAGGTCTTTTGAAGGTATTTGAATGACAGGTGTCTTTTATAGTGGGGAGGAGGGATCTTGGGTTTTCTGTTTTAGCTTTGGTTTTAGCTGAGGATGTTTTAACTACTACTGTAAGCTGCCTTGAACCAAGAGGGAAGGTGGGATATAAATGTCTAAATAAATAAATAAATAACACACAAGCAATTAACATTATTGACATTAACACTACCAGAAAACAAAAAATACTAATCCCATCCCCCCATACAACTAGCTACTGAAAACGGAGATGGAACTGCCCCTGGATTATCTTTACATTCTCACTCCAGAAAACAATAATAACCTGACAGACACCTCAGGTAAGGGTCGCTCGGGGTCCACCTTCCTACTCCCACTTTGGCCGCTCCTCCTCCAACAATAAACCTGAGGATATTTAAAGAAATATTCATGTACATACCCGGACTCCTGAGGTGAAATGTCCTGTTCCTGACGAGTCCTAAAGATGATAATGCAGTGAAATAATCCAAACAGGGGGAGTCAATCCAAAAGAATAGTCCAGCAAGGAAAAATATATCCAATATTATAAGAAATCCATGGTGATGGGGAAATATTAAAATGTTCAATACAATTAGAACCGTCAAACAGTCTCCATTAAGAAGCAAGTCCAACTTCAAAAAATTTGATTTTTTGCACGTGTGAGGCATAGTACAGAAACATCTTATTTTAAATGCATGTTCCAATGCCAGTGATTTTACTAAAAAAAGTAATGAAAAGGTGAAACTGAAAGTCTTACGTAGCAGTAAAATTATACTGAATTTTCAAATGGGAAACTGCTGTCCTCCTCCCTGCCTTGGAGACAGAATGTCCAGAGACACGGGAAAGAACATGAGAATTGGCTCGTGCGCACAAGCGACGCACGTTTCTCTCTCTTCATTTGTCCCAAAGGCACAAAGCGAAAAATGTCTTTTTGAAACCACATGGAATCGATATAACACTTTACACTTCATTCCTAAGATGTCTGTTTAAAATTTGTACAAACTATGTGCGTGTCAGGCCACCGCGGATTATTCTTCATTTTGGATTGACTTCCCCGCCAATGGATTCTTAACATGTTTTTAAGGGTCTTTTTGGCCGATATTTCACTAGGATGCTTCAGGAACTGGACATGACACTTCGGAAGTGCTGGAAAGGTCTTAAGTTTCTTTCTTTATTGGAGCTTTCTTCCTTATGCCCTCACATCCATTAGAGGGGGAGGGTATTCTCTCTCTCTTTTTTTTTGTAAGAGCACATTGATAATGAAACAAAGCAGCCGCATCATTGACTGACAGTAACCTGCTCTGCTGTCTTATTCGCCCACCAAGAACTACACAAAAGCATACAACATTAAACATTAAGAGCAAGGGACTATCACAGTTACAGGTCAATAAGACATTTGCCAACACCGAAGCACAATGGGTCGCCTCATAAGCCAGGGGTGGTTTCAAGCGCTCTATTGTGCTTAGGTGGGAAAGGACATCTGGAAGAGTCCACTGTTAGCTGTGAACGGCCCGCACTGTTATGTTTTGAGGAAAAACAGTTACTATACTTAATGTAGTTTTCAGTGAGGGAATTTGCCCTGGTAAATAATCCGCGGATTATTGTTTAGTCTGCGGACTAAAATTTAGCGCTCGGTTTAAAAGCCGGCCCGTCGCAGTGAAATCTGTTACAGTCCAAAAGGTTTCTTAGCAAAGGAAAGGAAAAGCAAAGAGCACGAAAAGAGAATGCAGGTGGGCAGACTAACCTTTAGTATGCAGACTAAATAACGGCCAGGTAAAATGCACATGAAGGCCACAAGGAGAAGAACAAACCTACAACAAGGTAAGTGAACACTGACAGGAACTTTTGAAGACAGTTTTAAATGTTTGCCCTTTGTTCGCAAGTGTACCTCATCATGACAAAGCATTACTATGTTGCCTGATGTGTTCGGTTTAGTTAACGCAATTTCATTCTGAAATGGCAGAGCACGCTGGAAAACACACATATCAGACTAGGACTTTACTTATGGGACATGCAGCTAATAAAAACTAAATTTCTCACATAACCACTGTTAGGATCTGGCTTGCAGTGTTACTGCCCTATGATCCAAGATCATGTATTGATAACGTTTAGCATCCTAATGTTACTCATTCCCTGGGGAGGGGGATTCCAAATGAGCACTAATTACAGCTCCAAGCTTCACAATTTGGGGGGTTTCCCCTAACAACTGATTTCGGTACTTCAACACCCTCTAAGCTGCGGAGTCTCATGAGCAAAAAATTCTATTTTGTGAGCTACTGGCATCAAAAGCCACGAGCGATTTGACTGGTGCATAAATTAGTTTGCTCTGGAGCCATCCTTCCTGAGCAAAGACAAAAATGTGTGAGCCGGAGGCTAAAGAAAAACAGGTTGCTTACCTGTAACTGGTGATCTTCGAGTGGTCATTTGTGCATTCACACCCATGGGATCTAGTGCACATGCGCTGGATCGATCGGCATTGTAGCAAGCTCTTTAACAGATTTTCACACCCAGACCTCGGGCATGCACAGGAACTCCACCGCGCATGCCCAGAGGGGAGGGCGTGGACATCCCACCAGTTCCTTCAAACCGCTGTGAATCAACCCCTATGGAAAACGTAGAAGCTGACAGCAGCGGGGAAGGAGGGCGGGTGGTGTGAATGCACAGATGACCACTCGAAGATCACCAGTTATAGGTAAGCAACCTGTTTATCTTCGACGTGGTCTCTGTGCTTCACACCCATGGGAGATTAGCGAGCAGTGGCCTACCTGGAGGAGGATGCTGGCAGGTCATTACTGGGAAGCCGAGGATAAGATGTGACGTCCCATGTTGGTACGAGAGTTCTTTCGGATGTCTAGGGTGCAGTGCCTTATGAAGGTGTTAGGCGTGGTCCATGTAGCGGCTTTGCAAATGTCCATTGGGGAACTCCCTGGAGGAAGGCTGTGGAAGCCACAACAGCTCAAGTTGAATGGGCCCTGATCGGGCCAGGCAATGGCTGTTTGGCAATCAGATAGCAGAGGCGGATGAGACCCGCAATCCACCTTGGGAGGCGCCGAGCCGTGATGCGAGTCTCCAGCCTGTTCTGTACAGGTAGAACAGGAGTGCACGTTTCACATCTAAGGTGTGTAACAGTCTGTCCTCTTAAGATGTAGGAGTTGGGAAGAAATCCGGAAGACCTCTGCCTGTAGGTGGAACTCTGACACTACCTTTGGCAGGAACGAGATGTCAGGGACGAGATGGACACTGTCTGGCAAAAAGGACAAGTAAGGTGTGTCGTGTCTGAAAGCCAGTATTTCTCCAACTCGCCTCGCAGAGGTGACAGCAACCAGAAAGGCCGTCTTCCATGACAGGAATTTCAGGTTGCAAGTTCCGAGTGGTTCAAAGGGTTTCCTCGTGAGCTGACGAAGAACTAGAGGAAGGTCCCAGGGAATGACAGGAGTTTTGACAGGAGGGTAAAGATGCAATAAACCTTTTAAAAAACGTTTTGAAAGCAGATGCGAAAACATTGTGCTTCTGTCAACTTGAACACGGTAGGCCGAAATTGCAACCAAATAAACTCTTAACAATGAGTGGGAAAGTCCAGAGTCAGCAAGGGACAGGAGGAATTGGAAAACTTTCTGGAGACCCATGGAGGTGGCTCGAGGGGCATCATCACCCAGGGAGGAACAAAACCTTTGCCATTTATAATGGTAGGACTTTTGCGTAGTAGACTTTCTGGCGTTTAGCAGGACGTTAGCTACTCAGGTGGAAAACCCGCTGACGTTATTCTCCACACTGTCAATTTCAAGCGAGGTATATCATGATGTAGGAGAGGGGAGTCGGACAGGAAGAGCAGGTCCTGTGCCGGAGGGAATTGGTGGTATGTTCCTGCCGACAAATCGAGGGCGGTCGAAAACCATGGTTGTCTCGGCCACCACGGGGTTCTTAAGATGCAGTCTGCCCAGTCGCTGATGATTTTGCGTACTACTCTCAGGAGCAGGGGTAGCGGAGGGAAGAGATAGAGAAGTTCCCCAGACCACGGGTAGAGGAGACTGTCCCCTAGAGACTGTGGGTCCCTGGCTCCTCGGCTGCAGAACAGAGGGTATTTTTGGTTCACCCTGGTGGCAAATACATTGACTTGGGGAAAACCCCACTTGCAGAAGAGTGGGAGGAGGTAGATTGGGTTCATTTCCCACTCGTGGAGACTAAGTCCTACTCGACTTAGATGGTCTGCCTGCACATTCAGGTGTCCTGGGATGTGTGTGGCTATCAAGAAAACATCGTGGGTGATGCAAAGGTCCCATAACTGGATGGCAAGGTTGCAGAGACGTAGAGAGACCGTGCCTCCTTGGCTGTTGATATAGCTGAGTGCAGTGGTATTGTCCGTGAGAACCGTAACACATTTCCCTTTGATCATTGGTAGGAAACTCGTGACAGCGAACTGTATTGCAAGCAGTTCCAGGAAGTTTATGTGGCTGACCTTGTTCATGGGTGTTCCACTTGCCTCCGACACAGAGTCCCATCATGTGTGCACCCCAGCCCGACAGGGGAGCATCAGTAGTCAGGGTGATTTGGGGTGATGGACGATGGAAAGGCGCTCCCTGGAAGAGATTGGAAGGGACAGTCCACTAAAGTAAAGAGTCTCGTAGGTGGGGAGGAGGGGTTAGGACGACGGTATGTGCGTTTTTTGTTGGGTCGTACTTGCAGATGAACTACAGTTGTAGACGACGCATCTTTAGTCTGGCAAAGACGAGGACCGACGTTGTTGTGGCCATAAGGCCGAGCAGTCTCTGAATTTGGCTCTGAATTTTGAAAGCCGTGACTGAAGGCTGAGTACGGACGACATTGGTTAAGGAAATAATGTCTGCTGCTCTGTCTTGTGGCAGGTAAGCCATGCATATCTTGGAATCCAGTATAGCACCGATGTACTGTATTCTTTGGACTGGACGCAATTGAGACTTCTCGTGATTGGCCAACGTCTTGGTGATATTTGAGACCAGGGCATTCTTTGAAGGCGCTACCAGGAGCCAATCGTCGACATAAGGGTAGATGGAGATACCCTTGAGACAGAGAAAAGCTGCAACGACAATCACAGTCTTTGTAAAGACTCTCGGGGTGCTTGAGAGGCCGAATGGCAGGGCTGCATATTGGTAACGCTGTTGACCAATTGCGAAATGTAGCTATTGGCGGTGGGAGGGATGGATGGTGAGGTGGAAGTACGCGTCTTGGAGGTCAAGGGTGGCCATCCAGACGTTTCTCTGCAGAAGTGGCATAATCTGCTGCAAGGACACCATGCGGGAGCGGTGGTAGGTCACATAGCAGTTCAACGCTCTTAGGTCTAAAATTGGTCAAACGCCTCCATCTCGCTTTGGAACTGTAAAATAGCAGGAATAGAATCCCTTCCCTTGTAGATGAGGGGGCACCGGCTCGATGGCTCCCTTGTGCAGAAGGACGGACACTTCCTCTAGGAGAGGTGGGGAAGGG